AATTGTATGCCTTGCTATTTTAGCTAACCATAAGCGCGAACCACACCAGTTGAGTTTGTGGTTTCAAAATTTCGAATATTTAGTCGGAATTGCCTCATCCGGCTGCTGAATAAGGTATTTTTGTTTCCCGGACTTCATTCAGCCTGTGTAGTTTAGGCCCTAAGAAAAACACCATATGATCGTATGGTTTTTAAATTTCGTAGGGTAAGTCAGAACTTGCCTTATCGGGCAGACTTCCGTTTACAATATAATTGTGCATAAATAATTTGCCCTTGATTATTTTAGAATTGCATTTTTACCATTTTTTAAATAAATTAAACATGTTTAACTTATAAAACTCGAGATCTTTTTAAACTTACTTAGGCCTACAATGACTACCATTTTTAGAATTATTAGATAACGAATTTTTTTTAATTTCCAGAGTAGGGATGTAGGGCAAGTAGGGCAGTAGGGCTGAGGTTGTCAGGAGGGGAGGAGGGCAAGTAGGGCGGTAGGGCAAGAAGTGCCAGTAGGGGTGGAGGGCAAGTAGGGGGGTAGGGGGGTACACCTCAAGTAGGGTAGGGGTCGGTAGGGAAGTAGGGCAGACCAAGTGCCCATCTATGAGCGAGGTCGGCCTCGGCCTCTTCAATTTTCAAAGAGTAGGCCTCAGACCTCACTGGCCTCGACCTCGCTGAGGAAGCTCCAGGCCTCGGCCTCTCAATTTCGGCCTCGGCCTCACCCCTTGAACCTCAGACCTTAGCGAGGTTGGCCTCGGCCTCTCCACTTAAACATGTAGTGAGGCCTATGACCTCACACGGCCTCGGCCTCAGCCTCACCTCCAAAATCTTAGGCCTCAGCGAGGTTGGCCTCGACCTCTTCAATTTTTTAAATATAGACCTCAGACCTCAATGGCCTCTACCTCGCTGAGAAAGTTCCGGGCCTCGGCCTCATGATTTCGGCCTCGGCCTCACATCTCGAACCTCAGACCTCAGTGAGGTAGGCCTCGGCCTCTCTAATTTTCAAAGGGTATGCCTCAGGCCTCAATGGCCTCTACCTCAAATTCCTAAGAGAGGCCGAGGCCGAGGCCTGAGGTCGCAAAAAATGGCGTCAAAGAGGCCGAGGCCGCCCATCACTGATGCTAGGAGTCCAACATACTGCTGGGTACATAGACCAGAGCTAGGTAAAGCTGAAGAGGAAGAGCAACATCCTGAGGGGTCACCCGCTTCTGGAAGAGTGGCACAGTGAGCCCTTATTGTACTCGACCTAATTTAAATAATAATTGTCCCATTTTTGAACCACAATTTCAAATGTGTGCCAAGCAGAAAATGCGGTGGTATAAGTGTTGCAAAAATTGTGCTTATATATATTTTCGCAATCCGTTTGTAAATATTCGGCTTTCGCAGGTTTCGAGATATCTGTTAACGGTTTCCATTATGGTTACAAGATGTCGTCCGAGTCTTCATGTATCCGCCGTACATCGCGTCGGGAAACTGGGAACCGATCCACTTTCATCGATTCACTTTCAGGTGGGACAAATGGATCCCACCGGTCTGTGTTGTAGGTACTCCTTTACTTTTGTGGGGTCAAGGGTGATATCTACTTTGACACGGCGGACACACAACGACCCTATATTTGTCAGAGGATTGTCCAGCTTTGAAAATGCGGGAGGATTAATCAAACTAATTGCATTAATTGCAGCCTAATGCTTCATTTAACCATGAAGGAATCAGTGCATTAAAATTAACCGAATCGTGAACTTCGAACATAACGCCAGCATCACGAGGGGCGTCGTGATTTCCATGAAGTAATTGCCAAATCGTATTTTCATGGGGGAGCAGGATTTCACCTGTCTACTCATCCAATCCCGTCGTTGTTGAGGAGACCTTTCATCCCCGAGAATTATGAGGGGCCACTTTTTTGCAAATTTACTCCCGCACTGTTTCGACCATTTGTTCACCAAGCCGGCGAAGGTGCCGAGAAGCAGGATCGACACCGTGGTGAGCGCTGAGGAGAAAGGAAATATAAAATTTCCCAGGTGATCCAACAATTTAGATCCAAGCGATACATTTATTGTTGTTGCCAAAATGTTAATCCACACGAAGAGTAGGAGAAAGGCGGGGAGAACGACTTTTCTGAAACAGTTGTTCATTTGTCCTATCAAGATTTGGAGTTGCTGATAGATTTGCAGAGTGGAAGTCATCCTGTCCATGCTCACTGCAAGATGCAGCAGCATTAAAGGGAACGATTAGCTTATGTATACAATGCAAATATTTGAGAATTATAAATTTTCAAGTCTATTTCGTATAGAGTTGTAAATAAATTAGTAAGTAAACTTATGTCATTTTATCATACGTAGTGTTTAATCAAGTTGATGTGCAGATGTGATTGAAGTGAAATTTTGGAAGTTCTTCAATTTTCAAATTTTATATTCGCGAATCAAGTTCCCGCTAGTTAGTGACGTAATATTATCCTTTCTCCCATTATGGAGTGGGGCCACGAATATTGAAATGTAAATTAATTATTCGCGACACATCAATAAACCACCAAATAGAATTAAAGTATGTAGTAGAAGAGCTGTAATTTTAACGGTAGCCTTCGTAGTGTAGACTTGACGAATAGTGGTTTGTCATGAATTGAGTATAGATGGATAGCAGATGCCGAAAATTTACCAAAACAAATGGATCCCGTATTATAAAGATTTCGTAAGTGCTGCAAAATTACCTCCTCATGAACGCCAGTCTTTCCGCTACACAATGAAGGGAAACAAAGAATATGATGACAAATTGGAAGGAGAAAGTGACCGCCAATGAAATGAAGGACCAGGCCTGCACACTCAAGATTAGGAAGCGTCCGTAAGCGTTCATCATGGACTCGTTGATGTCAGACGATTGGATAATTGATCCAAGGAAGGGCGGCAGTCTTGGTTCGAGCAAAGTCAATCCGATTAATGCCATCGATCCACCAATGCCGTAGGCAAAAGACAAAATCACGGACATTTTGTGGAGAAAGTCCCAATTTTTGCGAAGATTGTCTGGTACCACTGCAACAAGTTTTTTTTCAAAGAAAAAATATAATACAAAAAAGAAACTGGATGCAAAAATGTGCGTCGCATCATTCGATCGACATGATGGCGCAGTTTTGGAAAATTAATGTAACGTGCGAATTCAATAAATGAGTTTAGTTACGTAAGAAGCTCGTTTTCTTGTTTCTGAATTGTCGCACCCCATTCAGCAAAGACACGAATGGGTCAGGATCCAAGATGATGGGGATAATTGAGACGACTATGAGGAAAAAGCCGATGACGAAGAGGTAACAGAAATTTGTTTGAAGGGTTCCCACATCTCTGAAGGCAATCGTGTACAGCCCGTTGACGCAGATTGCACCAGTGATGGATAAAGAGAGGGATATTCTGAGTTTGCCATACCGAGAGGGGTGTTTAGAGATGTATATTTTTGTTTTGCGGGAGAAATTTATAGATTGCAATTTGAACAGGGATGACATTTTTCGCAATAAGTTTGCCATGGTGAGACAGGTGGGATTGCAGTGTGCTGTTGTTGTCTGATAAATAGGTGTGACTTTCTGTGTAATGTAAGTTCGCAACAGAGGTATGTATGTAGATCAACATAATGGTGCAAAATTTATTACCATTTGCTAAATATTTTGAACATTGTCCGGTTTCCTGTTTAAATTAAAACTGTAATGTAAATTTGATTTAGGCTGGCGACAGCAAGTATTTATTTAGTGATGAACGCGTGCATGCGAAATATTTAATATGTAAATATCGCATTGTTTAATCTTACGTGTTTATATAACCTCCACGTGCAATTCGCCAAAATTAGGTTAAACTTAATTCTGTTAGAGGTATGATATGAAATTAGCAAGCCGATGTGTCGTTATGCACATGAATTGTAATATTTGGCACATCTGATAGTTCAAACGGACTTCTTTTCCAATTTCCGAGGACCGAATCATGCTTCGCGTGGAAATTGAATTATCTAACAATTGTTTTATAAAGTGGGTATCAGATAGAAAAGCCTCTACTAGTTTTATTTATCTGTATTAAAGGATTAGTTGTGTCAAGTCTCAAAATTGGTATATGTATTGTGAACGGGATTGGAAGAGCCCTCTATTGGTATATGTAGTTTGACGTGGTGAATGACGTGTCACCTTTTCTCATTTTTTACTTTATGAAACTGGGCTGTTCCTTTTCCAACTCATTCCAGAAGTATCAACCTGTGAATCAAGGTGTAATTGGCTTGTATGTGAATGTCTAAATTTCCTATTAATTCGAAACAGTAAAGATTCGATATTTGTGACATATTTAAATCATTGTGTTCTCGCTTGTTTATTTGAGTTCCTCATGCTACGGTCAGTCAGGGCAATAGGTCATATTTAACAGTCACAGTTCAGTGCTCAGTATTTAGAGATTTCCCCGTCCAGGGGGCGGATCCCAAATCTCACAGTTGGATCCCCAAATATCAGTAAACTGCATTCATAAAATTTAGAGAGTTACAGTATGCGAAATAAGTCTGATAAATAAGTTTCAATATGATCTTATTTCTTATAAACTTGAATTGCTGAGTTTCTGCATATTTATTATCGAATAACTAATTGCCGACTAATTCTGCGCCGCCGATTTTTAAGGTCACGGACATGTTACGTGTTATCATTTAAAAATAATAATTAAGTGCCAAATAACAATTCACGTACATTTTTTTCGTCTTTTTAATCTTTTTTATTGGATAGTACGACAACCTTTTCTAAGAAGAATAGGCTTTCGTTTGATCGTGTACGATGCTTTTTGGCGTGCACTGAAATTTTTGGTCAAGGTAAAGGTGGATGCCTTAAATCGTGACCGCGGCGTAATTTAAATAATTGAGATACACAAAATCATATTAATTGATAGAACTTTACCGAAAATAACGTCTTACAAATTTAATTAAAAACGAATAAAACTCATTTATTCCATATACCGGGACCCCCCATAAACTATGTAACTTAAAAATCGAGTTTTTTTTATTTTAAAAATCTTGTATCAGGAACACGTCGTCTCTCTCGTTCTCCTTAAAATAATGGTCCTCCGCATGAATAAATTCGACCAGTAGTTCTCTCGCGGTGGGGCGGCGGGTGTGTCGTAAGGACAGCATAGTGTTCAGAATGTCGCGGAATAAGGGGTCCTTCGCACCGCACAAGTTGGCGAGAATGAGGTCGTGTCCGGTATCAGATGTCAGCTTTCTGAGTTCCGAGACAACCAAGGCTAGGTCGAATCCGCCCCAAAGTATGGAGCAGAGTTGAAGAAAGATGAGGCCCAAACTGTAAATATCCGTCTTTTCAGAGTAACCTAGGCCCGTAATCATTTCCGGACTGCGGTACAAGTCGCACCCTGCCCCCTCGTTCTTCCAGGAAGACGCGGTTTCCGCAAAGAAGGGGACGGATAGACCAAAATCGCCGATCTTCCAGACAACTTGATCATCCGAACAAATCTGGGACGAGATACAATGAAAATCAAATAAAAATAAATGTTCATTTTTTCCGACCAAAGGACATTTTGGCACTCGCACGTGGTAAAAATGTGGCCAAAAGTGAATAAAAGTATCAAATGGAAATTACACAAAACTAACAAATTATCCACATTTTACCACTGCCTAAGGGTTAGAAATCATGTGCAAATTGAAAAAGTGCAAATTTCATATTGATTATTCTCAACTTTGCACATTCATCTCCCCTGCACAAAAAATTGAAACTTTTCGTCGACACATACCTTTCCCAAAATATTATTCGGTTTTAAATCCCTGTGAATATATCCCTTCCCGTGAACGTAGTCCAACCCGCGGGAAAGTTGAGTCATAACGTCCAAACTTTGTCCCACTTTTTGAACTCGATCAATTGCAACAGATTCCGCCACGTCGCGCCCGGCCTGGATCCACGTTTTCAAATTAAAATGGCACAACTCCAACTTGAGAAAGAGGAAATTGCTCATCGTCGAGGACACCGATTTTCCGCAAATGTCTTGAATGTCGAACCTCGAGGGGGGGCGCCGCCCCAATCTTCCGCCCAGGATTCGTACCCCTTGACGACATTCCTGTGGTCCAGCCGGTTCAAGATGTCAACCTCGATTAAGAGTTTGTTGAAGTGTTGCGTCGTAGAGTCCATGCCGGCCAACTTTTTGAGCGCTTTATTGATGTCGACAATTTTCACGGCGACGTCGTCACGACTCCCGGCGGCATTTTGGCAGACTTTGTACACCTTGGCGAAAGTTCCGTCGCCAATCATGTCGGAAAAGAGGAGGTCCGGTCGAGACTTTGAGAGCTGTTTGGTCTTCCTTACTTTGTTCGGAGCCCCGATTTCGGATATCCGAAGTTGGACGGAGGTGGTGAAGTCGTTTCCGGGAGGGTGGGAGGGCTCCGTGGTAAGGATTTTGTACGTGACGGCGCGATATTTTGAACGTTCGGCGGTTTGGTGGCGCCAGGAGGATTTGTATTTTATAATGGTCCTCGAAGTGATTAAGGTGGCGAGGAGGAGGGTCAGGAGGAATAGGGCAAGCTGACCGGACCAGATGGCGACGTGGCAGGAGTAGTCGGCTGACAAAGGGATGAGTCAAAATTAATTACGGTGTAAATACGGCTAGGAAAATGACGATTGGGTGTTTTTTTTCAGTTCTTTGTGTCGAAATGGGCTCTTGTGTCGGTGCGTTTTTTTATATAGTACCATGCATCATTTGGTAGATGGCGTATCAAAAAAGACAACGACACACAAAAAAGCACACCGACATAAAACACAAGAAAAACGCGACCTAAAAAAACAGAAAACACAGCATTTCATTCCTAAATGTAAAAAACACCGTATCTTACTAACATTGTTGTTTTCATTTTCGATTACTTAAGGTCCAAAAATGATGACAAAAGTCAAAACGCAGGGGGTATAAGGAATACTGACTAAAAACGTTTTGCAAAACTGTTCCTTTCTCGTAAATTGAAATACCTCCAGGGTTACCGTACGTCGGTAATTGTCTCTCTGGGATGCAAACCCAGTCGGGGTATAAAATGGAGTCGTCATTCAACTGATATCTTAGAGCGGCGCAGTCGCAGCTGCACGAAAATACGACGGCTTCCACGTCCTCGGTTATCCTTTGGGGCTGAAAGTTGCAACAAATATAAAAGCCAGAGCGGTAATAAATTTATTACCGCGGGCCATCCAAAACTATTGCGAAATTGCGAAATCGTTTTTAATTTAAAATCATCTTTGCTCACCTTCCAGTGGTGCTGCCACGGATATTTTTCTTCCTTACTGTATAAAACCGTCCTATTTTTGGAGAACAGCTCCATCAAGAGTTTACACCCATTGCGGAGTCGGTGAGACTCAAATGCTGCCGCGGTAAGGACGTTGTGTCCCGCGTAAATTAGTTCCTTCCCGAATTCAAGGGAAACCCCGGGTTGCGCGCAATCTGAACAATCCGCTTCGGAGTAAAGAGTTGCGCACGATCTCCAACTGGGAACCACCCTCTCAGAACATTTGCCGCCACATGGAATCTCCAACTTGCCAGGGCACTCACATTTAATCGAGTGGAAAAAGTAGCCAGTCTTCAATGCATACATATAATAATATTAAAATTTTAAGTTTAACATAGAACAGTGATGCGAACTGAGTAGGAATCTTGGGAACAACAAGTGGCCACACCGGGTTAGGGCGAACATTGTGCTCAATATACGAATTATTAAAGAATGTGACAAAATTTTCGGGTAAAATTCACTTGTGATCGGGTCGTGCTAATATTTGTGACGAGCGTATGTGAAGCCTACGGGCGGCATGGAAACGGATGACCGTCTCCCTCACTCACTCTTTAGGGCGTTGACCTCACTCGAATTTCTCTGAACTTTGCTTGATCTACGACGGTTAGCTGTTGATACGCTGATCGCAAATATCGTCACAAAAATCGTCACAACTTGACGAAGCGTGAATTTTACACGGAAACCCCTTCACATTATTTAATACGAGGGCGATCCCATATTTTGTTTGCACCTCTCATACAGATTCAACTCTTGACGGAGTGGGCTACAAGGAATCAAATTTGTAATTGTTTCAACGTCTTAAAAATAATTTAGTACACACGTCTTTCTTGGTGCTTTTTTGAACTCCCCGCACTCTGTCTCACTTTCCAACTACTCCATGACAGTGCGCTTCCCCACTACTATGTAAGGAAGGGCTTAAACGACGGCACACCCCCACTACTCGCTATAAATTATAAAAAAATTGATCCGAAATTATGTCCAACCTACATTTTGGAAATATTTAACGGATCGCTCTCGTACATGTGTAAGTCGTATACAAATTTTGCGCGATTAGGTGTGGGTGACACCCAAATGTTTGTGGGGCACCTGCAAAGTTCCCCTAGTGAGTAGATATGTATATGTTTAACCTTACGTCCGGTTGTGACAGCCGTATCAAGATTGACGCGCCCGTGACAAATTTCTTGCATTCGTAGCCTCCACCATTTTCCATCCCGCAAATTGTCACATTACAGTTCGCCGTCCCGATATTGGCGCCCTGGCCAAAAACCACTGTAACATTGGTTGACCGCGATCTCAATTCTTGATAAAAGTTGGGCATGTATTCCCACCCTGTGAAGATGCGGTGGAGCAGGATACCCAACCAAAAAATAAACAATATGTAACTAGCAATATAAAAACATACAAAAAAACACATCATAGTGAAGTTATAGAAGTAACCGTCTAATAAGTTATTAGTAATAACACAATCAGATAAAACCCATTATATCCATTATATTCCGAATCATAACCAATAAAAACATTCAATTAATAAATTAAAAATTATCCAATACCGAAGTTATCAAAAAGTTTTGTAAATGAAACTTGAATTTCCATCAGAAACTTGGTTATATCCAGGATAAAGGTATCTTGATTACATAAATGGTTCAATATTCTCACTAATTTCAATAACAACTTGTCAATAACAACTTTGCTTTTAATTATTAAGGGGTGAAAGCCCTTTACAAGATCGATATGTCCGTCCGTCTGTCTGTCCGTCCGTCTGTCTGTAGCTCCGATAACTTTTGAACGGAAAGACATAGAGACTTGAAATTTTGAACGTAAACTCCTAACGTCAAGGGACAGGACGAGTTCGAAGATGGACCCTGTGGGTCACACCCTTCAAGGTCAAAGGTCATGAAATGTCATTTTAAGGTAAATTTTAGAGATAGCACACTTCTTTCACCCCTTGCTTACATGCGTTGTAACGGTTTATTCTGTTGCAAATTTTGCGAAGCAAATTTATATCCAATTTTTATATGTAAAACTCGTCGATTCGACATTAATCGCCAAAAAATTATGTACCTATCGATCAGTACAAACATAGAATTTAAATACATAGATGCGTTCAAACGTTAAGATGACGAGATGAACTTATTTATATGAACTTATTTATATTTATTTATATGACCGACCAGTCATGCGTGTGTAAAAAATGTTGATAAAGTTAGATACCATTTTACTCTTGACAAATGCTATTGATTTATCTTGGACTGATTATTCTTCTTCGCAATTTGGATCATCTCTGGGAAAAAATACATTAGAAATACTACTCGGAGTAATGAATGGTCTGGTGATACAAAATTTTAACCCGAGCTACATATTCCTAGAATACGTATCAATGCAATCTGATGGGGCAAGTGTGAGACAGTATCACCTAACTGGAAGGATTGCACAACTTCTTCCCCATTTAATCGTTACGTCGGATTTCTTAGCAATTTTGGTGAATCGAAGAAAGGCGCAGAGCAATTTAACAACTATATCAACCGTGGTGGGATTATGTCTCTCCTGCACTTATGAAGTAGAAATACCACCCTTGATTTCACAGCTGGACGATTTATCAGCTTGGTTTCGAACCCTCCGAAGAGATATGAATGGCGTATATGTTGCATCTATCTTTCCGGTTCTTCCCTTTTATAAATGTGGCCTCTACCAACCGACGGAACCTCCCGCTTTGGCACCGGAGTACTGCATAAACAAAGTTTTAAGCCGATATTTTAATTATTCGGTATTACATACATCGTCTGGCCGGGTTTTTGGCGAAATTTACAGTCATTTAATAATGGTTTCTGGCAGTATTGAGGTAAGTTTGGGGTGCTGTTGTTGTGAATAATTGACGCAGGCCCTAGTACATTTGTAAAATCTGAAAGCTTTGTAACGTAATTTTACAAACTTGAACAATATAAAAAGAACCCGTTGGTCTGAATAGGTTTACAAAAATTCTTGACCTAATTTTCTTAGAAGTATGTAAACAATTTGTTAATACTTATATCGAATTTGTGGATTTTACAAGATTACGAAGACCTAAGCGAATTGTTTCACTAATTGTTTTACTAATTTATTCTCTTTTCCTAAATGACAGGCACGTTTTTTGAGAAAGAGTACTATGCGATACATTTGAGGAAACTATGGATGTTCCTACAATTCGTTCAATTTTCAAGTCTTCACTGTTTCAAACTATGTCAATTATTCTGCTCTTCTCCTCCCGTTTGACATATTTACGTGGATTTTGATATACATTGGAGGCATCTTCGTAAATATTTTGGTTTTTAAGATAACCGCATCTACAAAGGGTTATTTAATCGTGTGGTCGTTAATCACTGCGCTGGAACAACCCATCGTCACAAAAAGGGAAAGTTCAACAATGAAATTACTTATCCTGTGCGGCACCTGGTTGGCAAGTATCTACATTCTAGGCTCACTTTACAAGGGCGACATGGTTTCCGTACTAACATCCCGGACACCTCAGCAAGTTCCGAACACTTTGAAAGATCTAGTTACCTCAAACACCACCATTTTTACAAATCACTTCGACAATTTAGACGGTCCACCACCAATATCTCGTTGCGGTTTGCACGATCTAGTAATTCCTCAGCTAATGAATGCTATTACTTCGAAATATACACTGCACGATGTTCTAACAAGGCTCCGCCGC